AAGGAAGGAAGGAAGGAAGGAAGGAAGGAAGGAAGGAAGGAAGGAAGGAAGGAAGGAGCAAGTTAGTCAACTGCATTCTCTGTCCTCAGCAAAAAGCCAGAAACCTTCCCAGGTAGGCAGCCATGCAGTTCTTCTTTTGCGAGCGACTGGACTCACACACACCACAGAGAGAACTTGGCCAGGTAGGAGAGAAGCAGGTGTGTTGCTCCTTGTCACGTGTGGAGGTTCAGGGAAAGGTGTACCTGTTGGATTCCTCCCTGTCCGCTGGGAAAAGGCCCAGGAGGGAGAAGGGAGGGTTGCTGCTAAGAGGGGAGCAGCCGCCGAGTTTTACTCTGCAGGGTGGAATTGCATCCCCTTCCCCAGAGACCTTTGGGGCAGAGGCTGAGACATCGCCATCTGCTTCCCCGGCCTCCGTCCATCCCAGGAGAGCCCTAACATGCGCAACCGAAGAGAACGTGGGGCTCCAAAACTACCCATGTCCTTCCCTTCCTTGTGTGGGGCAGACAACCCCTCCCAATGTGATAGAGACCAGTTGTTTTGGCGGATTACGAGTGGTCCTTGGCTTACGGCCATTTGTTTAGGGACCAAAGTTACAACGGCACTGAAAAAAGTGACGTAGATGACCGTTTTTCACAATTACGACCGTTGCGAGCATCCCCTACAGTCTCATGGTCAAAAATCTAGACATCTGGCTCATATTTATGACCGTCATAGCGTCTGGAAGGCCACCCGATTCTCTTTGGCGATAAGCAAAGTCAACGGAGAAGCCCAGTTTGCTTCACAACGGTACAACTATTTATTTTATTTATTTATTGGAATTTGTCAAAAACAAAAACAGAACCCGAGAACAAGGATAAGAGAATGAAAATACAATGAGAGGGATGATAGGCACGTCTCCTCTACTGACCCCTTAAGTATGGAGTAAGGTCCACGCAAGTCAACGTGTGACCGAAACTGTGAAGATTTGTAAGCCGAGACAAACTGAATCAGACTTCGACAACTCTGACTTACAAACGGCAGCGACTCACTTAACAACTGTGGCAAGAAAAGTTGCAAAAATGGGGCAAAAGCCACTTAACAAATATCTCACTTAACGACAGAAATGGTGGGCTCAATCTGTCCTCCTATGAACATCTGTGTAAGTAACGTCTAGATAACAATAAACCACTTAAGTTTGCTCAGCACTTTCTTTCCTTTTAGGAGAAAGGGCCGGTTGCCCGTATGGTGCGCAGTGGTTAGAATGCAGTACTGCAGGCTAATTCTGCTGACTGCCAGCTTCCAGCAGGTTGACAGTTCGATTCTCAGTGGCTCAAGGTCCCTTCCTTCCGAGGCGAGTAAAAGGAGGACCCAGATTGTTGGGGGTAATATGCTGACTCTGTAAACCGCTTAGAGAGGGCTGTAAAGCAGCGCGAAGCGGTATATAAGTCTAAGGGCTATTGCTAATCCTAGAGTGAATGTTTGAATTTTGCCAGCATGGATTGCAACTTCCCTCCTCCACTTTCCTCCACCCTTGGTGGCAATACTCGAGGTAGAAATGATTCAACAGGTTTCAATACCCTTCTGTTCCACCTCTCTTCAGCCAAAGGTGAATTGCAGAAACTGCCCGTTGCACTTACCCCAGCAAGTTGGCTGCCTGCTAACATGAGCTGAGCCTGGGGTAGGTGCGGCTGCTGAGCTTGGGGGGCTGGGGCTGGGGCTGGGGCTGGAGCTGGGGCTGGAGCTGGAGGCATTTCTGTAGAGTCTTCAGCTTTGATCTGGAAGGGAACAATAATAACCTTGAATGGAATTCTGCACCAATGATTAATTACTATGTATTGGATTGTTGAGTTTTCCACCAGTCTTAAGACTGTGAATCTAACTGCAGGTTACCCATATGGAGTAAGAGTAATAGGCACCTTGTGTGCAATTATGAAGCCTCTGGAGCAACACTTGAACTTCATCCGGCACTGACAAAATCGCCATCAGTCAATTGCAAACAACAGCTTTACTCAGAACCAGTGACGTGCAGTCAGTTGAGGCAGGGGAGGCACAGCCTCACCACTCCCATCATGAAAAGAAAAAAAAATGTAAAAGGAAAAAGGCGAGAGCTGAGGTCAGGCTGAGCTAGTTGCTCCCTCACCATGGATGACTCTGCTTAACTGTTTTAAAGAGTCTCTAAAAAAGCGCCCTCTACTATGAGGCAGAACTCTGTGCCTCATCTAGTCTGACTTTAGGTGTTTTATGATCACTCAAGTAGAGTTAAGTAAGGGTTAAAAGCCTAAAAATTCCTGATGTAGGTGAG